CCCATGTATGTCATACTGCTAGACTCGTGGTAAAAGTTAAATGCATCTTTGCTGAATAAAAACGTTTTTCCTCATTATAACAGATTTGGAATTGATTGTGTTTTAATTGTATATCTGCCTGCACAATATATAATTGATACATACACAGGTGATCTTCATTTTGGGTTTTGTTAGGATGATTTAAACTTTGAGAATGCTTTTAATTCCTAAAACTGCATGGCCTCATTATGTTAATGGCCTTAATTAGGCATCTGTATGAGATCCTCTGTCAATACACTTGTGAGCTGTTTCTTAAGACTGCACGATAAATCAAAAGAGCCTGCGATTAAAAGGCAAACATAATGTTGACAGTGTGGCCTGGGTTTAGACAACAGGATGCACTGCTTTTGGAAATGGTGTTTTCTGTTAGTTCTTTGTGTGGATACTTGAGGCTTGGCTGTCCTTGCTCATGTGGCGACAGAGGGTATCAGATCCATTTGACAGTGAGCTGAACACCCCGCAAACTCCACGGAGAGGCACGCACTCCCTCCCCCTGAGCCGGTGACATGAGGTGCCTCAGTGGCCTCCATCCTGGCAGGTCTGAGTGACGCAGAGAACGCAAGGAGGCTTTCGCCTTGCACTCCGGGCAAACGTGGGTGATGCTCTCTGTTCAGAGTTCTGGGCCTGCTTGAGTGGTGATGCCAGTTCTGTTTCCGTGAAATGGCAGGAGCTTCATTACACAAGCATATGGGAAGCTGAGCCTGAGGGTAGGAATTCCTGGCAGCTTGGGGAAAGAGGCGGAATGGTTTGCCAACTCCATCTGCTTCATTTTCCTAATAATCTAACACCTGCCAAGGAGACACATCTTGTATCTCAAAATGGCTGAGAATTACAGAAGCACCATAAGCTCGTTCAAGTGCCTCGCTCCGGTGAGTAGGAGCGTGGCCTCCAGCTTCCCTATGTGCTCTGAGATGAGAAGGATGCTGGTCTCTCTCAGGGACATCCTCGCTGCCACTAGGCCTGTTTCCTGCGTGCCTCCTGCATCCTGGTGCACTCTGAAATACGAGGCTGATTAAATAGTGGGCATCTGAGACAAACAAAGCCTTCATCCAATTGGACTATTTACCAATGTTTCCACCAGACAGGGAGCCTGGATAAAGCCTCATTTTCTTTAAATTTTAATTGTGAGATAAGCACCTGCCTCCCCTAAAGAAGAAACAAATACCCGTTTTCTAATGTAAAGTTATCCTGATTCAGTTTAGTTAGTGTCTAGTCTAGTTTACTTAGATTTAGTTTTGTTAGTTTAGACCAAATTCTTTCAAATGAGAACTTTCTCCCAATTATTCTCGGCTGGTTTTCAAAGGTCCATACCACCGTGGTTTGTTGAAGCCCTGGTCTCCCCTTGAAGGCGAGAGATATAGATGGAGATGGGGTCAGGCTGACAGTTCAGGGGAGGTTGAAAGTATTCTCCTGAGAATTACATACCCGTCCTGAATCCGTTTTTAAAAAAATAAAAATAAAAGGAACATCTGAGAAATAATAACTTACCTGTTGTGACTAAATAACTTCATTCATCTCTCCAAATAATAAATGGTGACTTTCCTTAAATACTGGGGCTTATGAGTAAAGTTCAACCGAGCAAGCATTCATTTTTGCGAGCACTCATTCTTTGAAGAATGAGAAGGATTTATATGATCTGTACTGTTACTATTAACCTTGGGAAGTAGATTCCATTTTCAAAGACACCCTCAATGTAGGATAAAGGAGAACGAGCGGTCTAGCAACAGACATCAGCTGGTCAGATTGACTTTGGCTGTGTATTAAGATCCAAACAGAAAACAGCTCTTAGGAGATGAAAGCATCAAATTCTAATCTTTTAGAAATACCTCTCACAAGAGAAAGAAGTGAGTGGTTTTAGTGAGAATACACAGCAGTGACTAATATCGGTCTTATTATTCTAAGAAAGGTTTTTATTGGCAATATAAAATCCCTTCAAATAATGCATTTTCTTGACAGCTCTTACAAGAATTTGACCCAAATGCTTCAATAATAATTATATGATCTTTTGGCAGGATTGCACATAGACCCAATTGCCATCCACCTTGTTCATTGCCTTTCATAATTCTTAAATAATATTGATGATGATTGGTTTTAATCCATTATTAGCCAGTGCATTGTTATTTTTATTATTCTATAACGAATGTATATGGTGCTGATAACTTGTTTACTTGCTTTTGAAACCAGGTTGAAAAACAATCTCAGAATTTAATACTCTCTGTACTAAAACACTATTGAATTTCTAGGGTAATATATGTTTCTAAAAAGTTGATAGCCTAATTATGGCCACAAAAAATTTATAAAGTGATAGAAAAATGAAATAAATTTATAATTATATGTCAGAAACATCTGGAGAATGACAAAGTTCTCAATTCTTGAAGTGCAGTATGGTGGGGTGAAGGAATCAAAAGAAGACAAAAAATAAGAATATAACAAATAACAATATTGACTAAAAGCCATTAAGTTTCATGATTCCCCTACCACTTCCTTCTTATCCTGTATCATTTTGTTCTACCCTAGTCTCACCTCTAACTAGTTTTCAGTACATTTTGTGTGTATTTGTGTGCGTGTCTTTGTATATTAGAAATGCATCATGCATTTTATTCCCTCTATTCAACCTCCCTGATTAATTCTGGGTTAACAAAAGGGAAGAACCATTGCTTTTATAAATACTTGGGATGAAACATGAATCACCAATTTTATTCCTTTTCTTTTGAGTGCTTCCTCTATATTTTTTAAAGTTTCACATTCTTTTATCTTTGATCTTAAAGATCCCTACAGGATTATGTTATCCCTTTAAGATACATATTTTCTGCACACCCCCCACTGGGGATGTGCCCGAAACCAAGGTACATGCCCCCGACCAGAATCGAACCTGGGACCCTTGAGTCCACAGGCCGACGCTCCATCCGCTGAGCCAAACTGGCCAGGGCTATTCCTTTTCTTTTGAGTGCTTCCTCTATATTCTTTTTTAAAGTTTCACATTCTTTGATCTTAAAGATCACTACAGGATTATGTTATTCCTTTTAAGATACATATTTTTCAACTTGTAAACATTTTGGGGTGGGTGACAACATTTTGTGTGTATTTGTGTGCGTGTCTTTGTATATTAGAAATGCATCATGCATTTTATTCCCTCTATTCAACCTCCCTGATTAATTCTGGGTTAACAAAAGGGAAGAACCATTGCTTTTATAAATACTTGGGATGAAACATGAATCACCAATTTTATTCCTTTTCTTTTGAGTGCTTCCTCTATATTTTTTAAAGTTTCACATTCTTTTATCTTTGATCTTAAAGATCCCTACAGGATTATGTTATCCCTTTAAGATACATATTTTTTAACTTGTAAACATTTGGGGGTGGGTGACGTTAGGTAACTTACTACTTCATTATGGTGGTGTCATAAGTTCTGAGTAAGTTTTATTTCCAAAGGTAGTTCACATTTATAGAGCCTACTGGGATCTTGCTAAAACATGCCTCAAAAATATATGCATGAAGGAACATTTCAGACATGGTATGAAGGAGATACAAATATTTTCTAATTCAGGATTTAAATGAGATGCAATGTGACTCTTTCCAAGATCACCTATGTCTAGTTATGTCAGACATATGATTAAAGTTCTTAAAGCTCTAGTCTAGAACCAAAGTAATGGTGGTGATGGTATTTCTTGTTTTTATTACTTTAAAGATATTGTCCAGTAAAACACACTGAGAATTTTGGAATATTTCCTTATCAACTTTCTTTGCATAGAGGTTTTGTTTTCTGTGTTCTTGGCTATAATAATAACACATATATAATTTTTTATTTAATATTTTTAACCTAACAGTTACATGAGCACATTCTATATCTTTTGATGCAATGTGACTCTTTCCAAGATCACCTATGTCTAGTTATGTCAGACATATGATTAAAGTTCTTAAATTTCTAGTCTAGAACTAAAGTAATGGTGGTGATGGTATTTCTTTCTTGTTTTTATTTCTTTAAAGATATTGTCCAGTAAAATACACTGAGAATTTTGGAATATTTCTTTATCAACTTTCTTTGCATAGAGGTTCTGTTTTCTGTGTACTTGGCTATAATAATAACACATATATAATTTTTATTTAATATTTTAACCTAACAGTTACATGAGCACATTCCATATCTTTATGTCATTATGAGGTTTTCTCTTTTTCAATGAAATATATATTTTGATAGGCACTATAAAAGTTATAATTTGCGTTGAAGAAAATCTGGTAGGATACCCACCAAACAATCAACAAAGACTATTGAGTGAAGTGGAGCAATAAACAGAGGAAACTTGACTCCCCGCTCTCAGTTCCTCTGCTTTGACTGGACTTTATGTGAAAATGTAATACTTTTGCAAAGAGGAAGATAGATAGCTAGGTAAATAAATAAAAATTCCTTTCCTGGCAAAAATCTCAGCCAATAGAGAAATAGATTCCACTAAACATTAACAACTAGTGGGCATACACCATCCCAGACCTTTGAAAAATATATTCGTGTATAATATTTCAGTTGTTACTTTAGATTTCTAGAATTTGGCAAAAACACATTGAAACGATATATAATGCTATAAAAAATATTGTGTCTCCTAACCTCCTTTCCCTGTAAACCTCCACCCTGTGTCCCAAGTGTCATTCCCATAGGCAAATACGTCACTCATTGCTTGGTGGCTTAGTTTTTGATTGCCATCTTGTTTCTAAATGAGTTTTTAAAATTTCCTATTTCTTGATGGTCAACTTGAAGTAATCAACAGAGTAACCTCTCCCTCCTTCCAACTCTCTGCTCTTGTTAGTCTGCTAATAAGATCCCAATGACTTTCTGTTGAAATAAATTTTTAAAAATTCTCTGCTGTTGATGACATAATTTGTGGTTATGAAGCCTGTGTCAGACTTATTTATTTATTTTTGTATGTAATGAAGTTTCAGTAATTTCTTGAGAGGTGTGGAAAACACACGTCTTTAGTCCACCATCTTAATACTCACAGCTTTCCACCTCGACTGCTATTTTTTTTCTTTTCTCTGAATTGTCTCACCAGTGCCATCTCTTTTTAATCCTATGTCCCCTTTCATCTTCTTTTACACAGCTCTGGGCCTAATGATTTTTGTTGTTGTTGTTCTTGTTTTGGTCTAAATTTATTGAAAACACAAAGTAGCTTTAATTTTCCCATGTTTTACTCTTAACTAGTGAGCCTATCGGACAGTAGAGCAGCACTTTAAATTATGTCATTTCATTTTGTTAGAACACAGATGAGAAAAAAATGATTGATTCCTAGCCATGGCCACTGTCTGTGGGGGGTTTGCATGCTCTCCCCGTGTCCGTGTGGGCTTTCTCTGGGTCTCCAGTTCCCACATCCCAAAGATGTGCCCGTGAAGTGAGCTGGTGTCTCTTCACTGTCCCAGTCTGAGTGGGTGTGGATGTGAGTGCGCCCTGGGATGGGATCCTGGGGTCCGGTATTGCACCCTGAGCTGCCACAGCTCAAGACTGGAATAGCGGGTTAAAAAATAATTCTTGTTTTTACTAATCTTCCCTAAATGTATTTATAGCTCACATTAATTTCAATGTTTAATATTAGAAGCATTTGGGGTCTTTACTAGAATTTACTGATGTTTCTGTGACCAGAAATATGTCGTAGGAACTTAACTCCTGCTTATATCTATTAGCTGACGGTAAAATCAGTGTTCTTATCAATTGCTTTTGCTTAACGTAGCAGTTTCCAAGAAGCTATGGATGACGTTAAATGAGGACTTAACTACATAGAATCACAATTCAATTAATAAATCAATGACTTTTCGATTGACATGGGGGACATTTGTGTAGACCTTTGGACACATTCCTTGAGTATGTCAAGTCTTGCTAGTGTCAGAGAACACTCTTAAGAGCTCCCTAAGGACTTGATTCCCACTCTAACCCGTGTCCGTGTGGGCTTTCTCTGGGTCTCCAGTTCCCACATCCCAAAGATGTGCCCGTGAAGTGAGCTGGTGTCTCTTCACTGTCCCAGTCTGAGTGGGTGTGGATGTGAGTGCGCCCTGGGATGGGATCCTGGGGTCCGGTATTGCACCCTGAGCTGCCACAGCTCAAGACTGGAATAGCGGGTTAAAAAATAATTCTTGTTTTTACTAATCTTCCCTAAATGTATTTATAGCTCACATTAATTTCAATGTTTAATATTAGAAGCATTCGGGGTCTTTACTAGAAGTTCACTGATGTTTCTGTGACCAGAAATATGTCATAGGAACTTAACTCCTGCTTATATCTATTAGCTGATATAGGAGATAAAAGAAGTCAGAGCATTCAACAAATTATTTTTAAATCTGGAAAGCAAACTTTAAGGAAAATTAAGATTATACATATTACGTGGATAAGGAAAGACTGTAGGGAATTTAATAATTAGAAATAAATAATGTTTTCTTTCTTGCCAATGAAAGCAAGGATAAAAGAAATTGGCTTAGAGAATGAAACATTTTGTTTAAATGTTATAACATACTTTTGACGTGTGGCTTTTGTTACAACTCTTAAGCATATAGTGACTCTCCTCTGAATATCTTTTAAAATAGATGATAGTTATTTTTGGCATTGTGTTTGGCATCTAAAGGTCAATTAATAACACCTTATGTAAACTACTATTCCCAATGTTCCAATGTCTTTTTACTTTTTTACGTGATACATATACAATGGCTGGTTTTTCTTTGCAAATTTGGTATAATTTTTTTTTGTGTGTGTGTGTATAACAGAAGCTATTCATAGTCTCTGTGATATTTCTTCTCTTTATTAAATTACTATTCACTAAATAATATAAATCAGGGTTCTTTATGGACAGTGCATGTTCTAATGTCAGGGTTTGCTAGGATTGCTACCCAATTTTTCTCCATCCATAGCCTCTATTCAAGGTCCTGGTTTCTCATGTTGGGTTTCCTATGATCCCATGCATCACAGCATTTCTGCATAACCTAAAGCTGTATACCATTTCTCTTTTGTGAGAAGTATTGTAAAACAAGATAATGCTAAGGGTGAACTATTCCTAGTACTTTTCCAGGATGTATTTAAAAATAAGTGAAACAGTATTTCAGCTCCAGCCCTAACACTAAAGTATTTTATTAAAGCACTTTTGATGTTTCTCTTGAAATTATCATGTTTTCTTTGATTACAAAATCTGCCATTATCAACTGGTACACCTAGTAGAGATGACATTATAGTGAATTAAAGAATGTTTGAGGTTTAATAACTTTCAAATAGAAGTTTGTTCAAATAGAATTAATGTAAACTCAGAAAGACAGAAAAATTTTAAATGACCTCATTCTGTACTCCTTGTTCTATGTCTAACAACTCAAGGCAGGATGATTTGCATAAAGTTTCTTCCTGTAACTTTCATTTCCAGATAATCAAGTGAGACTACTGGTGAGAAGTTTATAGTCCCTGTTCTATATGGGAGGGTACATTTTGGCAAAAGTATATTTGGAAATTTACACTTCCCTTATTTGGTGTAAAATCTAGGTAAATGATGATTTTTAGATGAATGGCACAAGGAACCTTTTATACTGTGCTCTGCCTGGTGGCAAACGTGTGCAACAGAAAGAAAGAGGAAAGATGCTTGCATTTATAAAATCCTGGTCAATAATTTTATTCTTTAGTTGGGCTTGAATTTAGTCCCTTGGCATAGTGGATGCTGATTAGTCAATAACATCTAATATTAGAGCCCAAAGATCTCTGCCTTGTATTCTTTGTCTACATTATTCCCAGGACCCTAAAAAGACACCATTGTTGGGGAAATGGTTTCTGCTACTCATAACACTTTATCACTTTAGGTTGTTGCCTTCATGCTAATTATAGTTTCCAGAGTAAATGTAATCACCAGGTCCTTGGGGAGATCAGGTGGGAGAAGCAACTCCTAATTCCATAGTTGGGAGCCAGGGCGGTGTTAGTTGGTTTCTCCACCTGGCAGTTTGGGCTCCCCATCTCTGGTGGGAGAGCCCGTTGGCATTGGTAGGGGCCATGGGAGGGAAAGGAAGATGTTCTCTAATGCTCTTTGTTTCAAAGATCTAGAGGTAGATTATTGGATCTTTTCTAATCCAGTCCATCTGTACTGAAGTTATGCTAATTCCTTCAAGAGACTGACAAAACTGGTTATCGATAGCCTTAATTTCTTTAAAATATATTTTTATTGGTTTCAAAGAGGAAGGGAGAGGGAGAGAGAGAAACACCAATGATGATAGCGAATCATTGATCGGCTGCCTCCTGCAAACCCCCCAATGGGGATCGAGCCTGCAACCCAAGCATGTGCCCCAACCAGGAATTGAACCTGGGACCCTTCAATTTGCAGGCCGACGCTCTTACCACTGAGAAAAACCAGCTAGGGCATAACCTTAATTTTTAAGAACTATGCATTTATACTTTTTGTGTGTGTTTCTGTTTATGTGGTATTTTAAAAGGGTATTTCAAAGAGAAAAAAGGATGAATCCATAACAGTTAGCTAACGGGCATCACAGTGCATTAATTTTTGAGCTTTTCTCTTTTCCTCTTTGTGCATTAGACATCTACAAAATATATAGTTACACTTTCCATATCCACTATACAAAACTGTAAGGATGAAATGAGATAACTTACGCATCAACACTTAAAGTAGAGATGCCATGTAAAAAGGAAATGAACTCTGGGATTTTTTTTCCTCTTTGTCCCCATTAACAACTAGCAGAACGCAAAACTGAATTATATTTTCAATTTATATTTAAGTAACGTATGTTGAGATGTGTATCTTTTACTCCTTAACCTTTGTGTGCTGGCAGCAACATATGATAAAATAAAATCTCCCTTTGAGGGTAATGAGGGCTGAGGTCAAGGACGTGTGGACTACAGGAGAGTCAAAGGCAACTTGTGCCTTTTTCTTCATCTTTGGAACAACTGGGTAACAACTCTTACCCCACAAAAAGCAGGTGAAGGTAATCATGATAGTTTGCATTTTCAGGGTTGTTGGTACACTTTCTCCTAGTTGTTATGCTGTTAGGGCTAGAGGTTGGAGATCTTAAGCAAGACAGGGCCAGAAAAAGTCTCTGCCTTGATGCCTTCTTTCTTCTAAGACTTGAGCTAGAGAAATTTTGTGAGACTTTTAGCAAATGTGGAAAATATTAGTATATTTTGTGGACTTCATGACTGGCTGGTGGTACACACGGTGGCACCACATTAATGGAAAGGCAGATATAGTGACACCCAGAAGCTAAATTGTATAATGAACGTAAAAGAATAACTAAAACTAATAACTAAAATTTCAGCCTCAATTTTTTCCATGGTACTCTGTTCTTTTCACATAGTAGTAGAAGGTTTAATCATATAGAGATTTATGCAGTCTTATTAGAAACTAGAGGCCCGGTGCACAAATTCGTGCACCAGTGGGGTTCCTTGGCCTGGCCTGCGGGATTGGGCCAAAACAGGCTCTCTGATATTTCCCAAGGGGTCCAGGATTGCGAGAGGGTGCAGGCCAGGCTGAGGGACCCCACTGGTGCATGATTGGGGCTGGGGAGAGACGCGGGAGATTGGCCAGCTGGGGAGGGACCTCCGGAGGGCTCCAGGGACCTCGCCCATCTTGCTCAGTCGTGATTGGCCAGATCCCAGTAGTAAGCTAACCTACCAATTGGAGTGTCTGCCACTTGGTGGTCAGTGCATGTCATAGTGAGTGGTTGAGTGGTCTTAGCATATCATTAGCATATTACACTTTGATTGGTTGAACAGATGACCGGACACTTAGCATATTAAGCTTTTATTATATAAGATACCACTATGATTATAATATCTAAAGAAGGCTGTAACATTTGTTTTGCAATGATAGAATGAAAAATAAATTATGAAGAAATATTTAAATGATAATATAGCTCACTGACAAATTATAGACAATAGAGATGAGACAAAAATAGTACTAAAAATCTCTCAATGGTAAAAATCAATTTGATTGCCTAGTGTAGTGATATTAGATTTTAATACTTCTTAAACACTAAATAATGGTAATACAGAGAAAGTTTAAAAAAAGTTAATTAGGTTGAAAAAAATATAAATAACTATGCATGGGCAAATAGGAAATCTAAATCATGCATTTTGAGATGCAATCGGATTGAACTTTGAAAAGAGCATATTGATGAATCAAGTATTGCAAAGATACTTCAAAAATAGTATTGCCTAGGTTTCAAGCAGCATTAAGTACATTCACAATGTTGTGCAACAATCAATACTACCTATATAGTTCCAGAATATTTTTGTCTCTCCCAAAGGAATGGGAGGCCATGTGCTCACATTTTTAGGATATCCATTCTTTCATAATGGAAACTAAAAATATGCTAAAGATCGAAATGCCTTCTTCCCTGAGGTGTCATAGAAAGGAAGTGTAGCTACACGATCAGAGGTAAAAATTTGGCACCATAAATTTTTTAAAAGGAGGGGGAAAAAGCTTTAAAATGAGAGTAAATCTTGCTTCACTATCAGCAAAAAAGCTGCTGACATCAAAGCCATCACCAGTTAAGATGTTCTTCAAGGCTACTTACTGCCCTTTGCATGGTGATAAGCTGAAAGTGCTTCACCACTCAGAAACCACTGTGCTTTCGAAAGGGAATTGGATAAGCACATCTTTTTTATATCTAAAAACTATACTCTAAAATTTAAGAAGTGAAAGACCATTAATTAACCTCATCTATCATTTTAATTTGGCTCCCTTTCTCTGCATTGGCTTATTTTGTTTTCTGTCCATTTTCTCTTGCTTTCCACACAAATCATTTTCTTTACTCCTACACAAAGGCATAATCTATAGTAATAAAAGGGTAATATGCTAATTAGACCGGAGGTCATTCTGGACGTCCTTCCGGACAAAGCTGGGGCCAGCAGGAAGCCAGCCCAGTCCCGGGTGCCTGTGGGCAGCCGGAGGGAAGCCAGCCTGGGTCCTGGGTGCCTGTGGGTGGCCAGAGGGAAGCCAGCCCAGATCCCGGGTGCCAGAGGGAAGCTAGTGCCGGCAGTTGGGGAAGGAAGGCCTACTTTTGCACAAATTTCATGCATCGGGCCTCTAGTACAACCATAAAAAGGCACATTCAGGAGTCATGCCCCCCTTCTTTAAAAGAATTAAATGTTGCCTTTTCACCATTAAATATATTTATGTATACATCTTTATGTACATATCTGTAAATCTACATATTCATCATTGTGTACCCAATTTAGACTCTAGAGGTCCAGATGAGAGGACCATGTTTTCTTGAATGACATTGGTTATAGGGAGCCAAATATTTTTAAATAGCTATATACATAATTTCTTGATGGTGGTAAAATACATATAAAATGTATCATTTAAACCACTTTATTCAACAGTAATTCAGCAGCATTAAGAATATTCACAATATTGTGCAACAATTAATACTATCTAGTTCCAGAATATTTTTGTCACCCCAAAGAAAACTCTGAACCTATTAAGTAGTCATTTTTCCTCCTACTGCCCTCAACCTCTGGCAACCACTAATCTGCTTTCGATCTGTATGGATTGTCCTATTCTAGGTGTTTTATATAAATGAAATCATACAATATTGGTTTTTTTTGTCTACCTCCTTTCACTTAGCACGTTTTTCAGATTCAGGCATGTTGTAGCATCTATCAGCAATTTATTCCTTGTTGATTCCATTCATCAGCTGATGGTCATTTGGGTTGTTTCACATGTTGGTGATTATAAATAGTGCTGCTATGTAAATTCAAGTATATTCTCTTTGTTTGACCACCTGCCTTCAGTTCTTTGGGGTATACACCTAGGAGTGGAATTGCTGGGTCATATGGTAATTTACATGTTTAATTCATTGAGAAACAAACTGTTTCCAAAGTAGTTTACTAATTTGATATTCCAACCAGCAACAAGTGCTCCCCTTTTCTCTGCATTCTGGTCAATACTTATTATTTTCCTTATTAAATTATGTCCATTCTGGGGGTGTGAAGTGGTATCTGGTGATTTTTGATGAGAATTTTCCTAATAACTAGTGATATTGAGCATCTTTGATGGCCATTTGTGTATCTTTGGCCTCATACCAACTCAAGTCCTGTGCCCACTGTATTAGTTTTTTAGTGATGCTGTAACAAAGTACTACAAACTGGATGACATAAAATAAAAATTCATGGTCACATTTTGGAGGTTAGAAGTCCAAAATCAAGGTGTTGGCAGGGCCATGCTCCCTCTGAAATCTTCATGGGAATCCTTCCTGGTCTTTTCCTAGATTCTGGTGTTTTACTGGCAACCTTAGGTGTTCCAAAGAGGATATCATGCCAATCCTCTTTTCATATGGGCTCTTCCTGTGTCTGCTTCACACAGCTGCATTTACATAAGGACTCTGCTCATATTAGATTTGGGCCCACCTTATTCCAGTATGACCTCATCTCACTAATTACATCTGCAACAACTCTATTTCCAAATAAGCCATTCTGAGGTACTGGTATTAGAACTTCAATATACCTCCCTTGGGGGGATACAATTCAAGCCATTAACATCCCTTTTTTTTTTTATTTAATGGGACTTTGCCTCTTTTGTTGTTGATTTGTATAACATATTTTATATTCTGGATATTAGATCCTCATCAGATTTGCTTTGCAAATATTTTCTTTCTAAGAAATATCTTCTCATTTTCTCAATAATGTCCTCTGATTTTAGTTTTTAATTTTGCTAAGCCCAATTTACTTTCTTTCATTGCTTGTGGTTTTGGTGTCATATCTAAGAAACCATTAACAAATCAAGGTTATAAAGAATTATGCATGTTTCCTTCCATTAAACTATACATTTATTCTTATGCTAGTCTCTATATTTGGTGACTTATAGTTGTCATTACTGATATTTCTATTACTGTAGCATTGTAGTAAGTTTTAAAATTGGGATGTTTGAGTCTTCCAAGTTTGTTCTTTTTTTTTCAATGTTTTTATGGCAATGCTATATGGCTTAGTTTACTGTAGTTTTGTAATATAGATTAAAATCAGAAAGTGTATGCTTCCAGCTTTATTTTTCTTGTTCACAATTGTTTTGAGTATTTGGGACATTATGTACTTCCACACAAGTTTTAAGATTGTTTTTCCCATGTCTGTGATAAATGCCATTGGAATTTTAATAGGAAATGCATTATATTTGTAGATTGCTTTGGGTAGTATGGTCTTTTTAATAACAAATTCTTTCAATTCATGAATAATTTATCTTTCAATTTTAGCTTTAACAGTGTTTTGAACCCTTTTTTCTGTTGGAGAATGATGGTAAAACGCCTATTCCACAATTTTGTTGCCATCATTTCCTTTTTATTTCTTCACATGGCTTTGAGTTATTGTCTACTGTCATTTCATTTCATCATGAATAACTTTAATAACTTTTTCAGCATCTATTGTAGGTAAGTTTAATAGCAACTGAGCCAAACTGACCAGGCTGGACTGTACCACTTCAATTAACCTAGCTTCAAGTTCTCTGGTTCTTTGCCTCTTCTATTTGCCTGTTCTACTCTTGAATCCCTTTAGTGAAATTTTCATTTCTATGGTGTTGTCCAACATCAGAATTTGTATGAGTCAGTTATTTATTTATTAATATTCTTTATTTGGAGAGACATTGTCCATGTTTTTCCTTTAGTTGTCTATGGTTTCCTTTAGCTCTTTGAGTACATTAAGCACAGTTACGGTGTTGATTTAGCAAATCCACTGTCTGTGCTTCCTCAAGAACAGTTTCTCTTCATTTCTTTCTTTCCTGTGAATGGACAATGCTTTCTTGTTTGAATTCCTCTTTGTATGTTGCCCCCTTTTCTTTGTAAACTGGCCATTTTGAATATCATGGCAGCTCTGGAAATTGGATTCTGCTCCCTCTCCAGAGTTAGCTTTTGTTGCTTGTTGTGGGTTGTGGCTGTTGAGTGACTTTCCTAAACTGCTTGTATAAACTATAGTCATGTGTGATCTATAAAGCTTCCAATTCCACATTGTTGGTTTAGTGGTCACCTCGTGGTTTGACAGAGCTTTCCTGAAAAGCCTGGAGACAGAAAGAAACAAGGAAAACAAAAGAAAATATTCTCCTGACCTTTGTAGATTGTCTGTGTGGGGCACCCCTTCAACACTTACCAATGGTGTTTACAAGTCTGCTTTAGCCTTCACTTCTGCTTGGACTGGGGGTACAGATCAGCAAGGGGTAAAAGCTTAGGGTCTTCTCTAGTCTTTTCTGAGCATGCCTCCTGTCCTGGATATGGGCATGTCCTTCTAGATTCCTCTTAGACTATGTGGGCGCTTTCTAAAGCCCTTATTGCCCAAAGCATTTCCCTCCCCGGCTTTCCCTCCCTGACCTTAGCTGCCTGTTTGTCCCAACTGTTATCTTTTGCCCCAGGCAGCAGCATGTTCAGTTACCTTTAATGTTTTAGGCAAATACTCTCTCTGCACAGCTACTTTTCCATCTTCCTGAGTTAGGTGAAATAAAGGCAAGCCCCTTGCATCAGAACTACTGAGAATCTCTGAACAGGCCACAACAAATACCATCCATGGGAAGAAGGTCCATTCTGTTCCCTGTAGAATTAGACACCCATGCTAGTAATACAGGCTGCCATTTTTCAAGACCCCCGCTGACCATGGAGGAGGTGATGAAAATAATAAAAATGCCATTAAGCTATACTACTGGGTTTCAGTCATCTTTTTATTGCTAAGTATTCACTATGTTGCTGTATACACCTTGCACTATTTTTTGGACTTTCAACAAAACTGATTCTGACCGTTTTTGCTAGTCCCCGCCCCCCCCCCAAGTGTTTTATATGGAGGGGGTTGGTCCCCAGAGTTCCTCATTCTACCATTTTCATTGACACATATGCATAATATTTTTTTATTTTTACAATATATTTTTATTGATTTCAGAGAAGAAGGGAGAGGGAGAGATAGAAACATCACTGATGAGAATCATTGAGCGGCTGCCACCTGCACACCCCCCACTGGGGATGGAGCCCACAATCCAGGCATGTGCCCTTGACCGGAATCAAACCTGGGACCCTTCAGTCCGCAGGCTGACGCTCTATCCACTGAGCAAAACCGGCTAAAGCCATATGCATAATTTTTAATGTAAGTAAATACATACACCAACATTTAGGTGAAAGTGACATTTTCTTATTACAGTCTAAAACTGTGATGTTTTATTAGCTGTAAATAAGGACTCTATAGTTACATGATATAAACATTTGTATATATTTCAGGCATTTAAGATTAACAAAAGGAATATGCAAAATTCATGTTAGGTGCTCGTGAATTAAATAAGAGAATTTAGGGGCTAATATGCACATATTTGTATTGTTTAAGTGTAACTAGCTACTATATTGACCCTTTCCTACTACTAGAAAAACACATTATTAGCTATGTTATTGGTCTGACCCAATATAGCTTCTTATGGAAGATGAAAAACATCTCGTTTTCATATTTTAAACGTAATGAGCTCTGTGGACTCTGAGGAACATTAAACCTCAAAGAGTTCATTGAAATGTTTTGTCCCTAGATGCTCTAGCTAATGTGTTTGCCCCTATCACGACGTTAAAACACAATGTTTAATGTCACTGACCTCAAGACAATATGTCGTGCCTTACTTAGAATAACCATTCCTTTCATGTACCCTTAGGATGGTTCTCATGATAGCAAGAAAGGAAATACTTGTCAATATCTGTAGTTACAAAATCTAATCTCCCCAAATCACCATGCTTGCTGACATGGAATATTACTTTATATGCAAAAGAAAATTACAGTAAACACACAACAGTATTGGGCTTACTCATGTGAATACCTAATGCAAGGAACAGTGTGCTGAGAAAAATGCAACACGTTATTGATCATATGTTATTATAAAATGAAACTCTCTTTGATGGAATTTTATATTAGGATTTTTCTCTAAAATTTAGTAGAAGAGAAATTTTTTAACCCTATCTGGCGATTGTTAAACATATTTTTAAGGGAATCTTTAATACAGTGCATCTGGTTGAAAAGTGACTTTAGAGCAGCCGTGGGCAAACTACGGCCCGCGGGCCGGATCCGGCCCGTTTGAAATGAATAAAACTAAAAAAAAAAGACCGTACCCTTTTATGTAATGATGTTTACTTTGAATTTATATTAGTTCACACAAACAGTCCATCCATGCTTTTGTTCCGGCCCTCCGGTCCAGTTTAAGAACCCATTGTGGCCCTCGAGTCAAAAAGTTTGCCCACCCCTGCTTTAGAGGATATAACCTACCACACACAAATTAATTTTTCAATTTAAATTGTTTGGCAAAGGTAATTATATCATATATCATGGATGTGACTTTGCACATTACATTCTGAAAGCAAACTACATTTGAGCCAATATGTTTTTGGAATTTTTGCCCGTAGAACTTAACAATAATGACTAATCTCGAGGCAGTCTATTTCCCTCTAGAATCACTTCCCTCAAGGAACTATTGCCTATGGAGAATCAATAGCTTTTGAAATGATAGAATTCTGAAAACAAACAAAGGAGAACCTCACTGTTTTTATAGTGGCAGGTATTTAATGTTCAAAGGAAATTATATAATTTAGGCTGGAAAACTTTTGCTAATATGGGGCAGGGAGGTTCTTTTCACCTGGATCACAGTATCTGAGAACTGACTTTGCTCATGATTACACACTACTAAGTTTTATAGAGAGAATAAATATGTATTAATATCATTTAGTCTATTGCACACTAACTGGAAGAATTTAGAGCTTTAAAAGGACAAATACACGTAATTATACTTAATAAATAAGTGTTCATAAAATTTGGCAAACTCCAACTATACGTCTGTTCTGCATGAACTTTAGAACGTGAAAATGCTTGAGATTCACAGGTCAAGTGCTACCTAGGGATAGGCATTAAACCAATGATTGTGTTCCCTTATTGCCCTTCCATAAATGCTGTCCAATACTAAATTTATCAATATTTGAACAGGAACTAGGGGAATTAACATGGTTTTTAATAATAGATTTGGTGATAAGTTTAACATAGTTCTGAATTACATAACTTTTCACTATTGAATATCATCATGTTTTGAAAAGAGGTTTCATACTGCTAGCACAGATATTGCCCCCGGATTGAACTTAATATGCTCCTGTATGCTTTTATATTTTCCATTCTTTATTGAATTTCATACATACAAGATAAGTAAATTCTGTGGATGTACACTGGTTCCTGTTTGAGAATATAGCTAACAAAGTTGTTCGTGGTCTATTATTTGGATCTCAATGAAAATTAGGTAACAAAGCCTAATGAGGAAAAACAAAAAGTTTATTGGACTGTTTCTAATTCCTTCTTTGGGTAGCACCACAGAAGTAAAAATTCAGGTTTGAGGTTTAAAAGTCTAGCTACAAGCTCTGTTTTTTTATTCTTTTTGGCTTTCAGCTTGTAATACTTCTATAAGTCAGACAAAATTTTCATTTCCTGTCTAATTTACAGAATTGCTGTGAAGGAAAAAACTCCATAACATATGAGAAGGTGCTGTATAAACAATCAGAAACAGGATATGCAAACATAATATTTGGTTTTCAAAACAGCTTCCCTGAGTCACTCACTCATATCAGGGTAATTCAGGGAATGAGGTTTTGATGGCAACGCGGGGGAAATAAGGGTGAGTTCTGTGGTTCTAAGTCTGGATTCCTAGATGACACCTCTGAAGTTGGAGAGGAACGAATTCTTAGTTCGGGTGCTGCTTCCATTGCCGATTCCTTTGAGGCATGTTGCTTTAGTCACGTTTGTTTTAGATTTATAAATGGAAAGAAGCTATCTTTCCCAGGTTAGGCATCCAAGTTGTAGGTACTAGTCACCCAGCTCCCTGTCCTGCACACCTTCCTCTAGTTAGGACTAATTAGAACAAAACACTATATAACCATATCCTTTAACTTGAAACTGCAATAAATATAATTTTTCAGAACATGACATATTTTCATGCATATATCTTATCTCTGTACAGCCCTAGGAATTTATTAACACACACTTCTTAGTTTTCCCTTAGTAACGCTGTGGTTTCCCTTACTAATAAGCGAACATTTAAGCATGAATTGACACACTGTCATTTATTTCAGTCCTGGAGCACACACGGAATATGATGATATGCTTGAAAAACACGTCAGTGTTTACTTTGTTCTTTCCAGTGCTAATATTAAATTTAACCACACATTTCCATAAATTAAATTCACTGGGAAACCTCACATTTATAAAATTACACAAGAATAAGCTACATTATCACAATAAACATGGAAATGTACTGAAGAATTCAAAGTAGAGTGTCAGGATCACTTCATCTTCATGGTAAACTTTCACTTTATGGAAATTCCACTTGGCTTCATTTAATTAAAAAGCTGAAAAAGAAAAATTATGATGAGTGGAAGTAAGAAAAACACAATAGCTGTTTATCCCATTCTAAATTAGTACATATTAAACATAACAAAAAATGTCATCATTACATTAATTCATCTCATTTTAATAGTTATATGAGGGTAATTGTGCTGAATTAGTTCCTATAATGGGGTCAGGCTGGGATTCAACGCAGGTCAGTGGTGGGCGAAGACGCTGATAAGAACTTAAACTTGTGTGGTAAAGTTTGGGTAAAACACACTATTTCTGTGGGTCACTCTCATTGTTGGCTAGACCAATAGTTAATCACTTAAACTGGTAATACAGGGGAAATAAAGGAATGGACTGAAATAAACATTTAAAGTGGGTAATTTCAATGTCCTAAATATTTTTATCATTCAGTTTACAATTCATTTACTTACATAATATAAACAATTCATTATTTTTATGAAATGTATAACTTCATTATATTGAACCAGAAAGAATGTATAATAAAAGCATCATCAGACTCTAATGAAACAGTAAAATTAACTCTAAGTCCCAATGTTAGTAAAGAGAGGTTCTTAGATCCAACCTCTCTTTTGTATATTAACTAATATACAAAATTATATATTGAACTTGAGCTGAGATCTTCTGGTTCTAAATATTATTTCCTATGAGTCTTAAAAACAGGAAGCAACGTGATAGAATTGGGAGGATGATTCATGTTATTTTCCTACCTGAGACCTGATATGTCATAAATATTTTTTTTTTTTAAAAGCTCTAGCTAAATATTATTTCCTATGAGTCTTAAAAACAGGAAGCAACGTGATAGAATTAGGAGGATGATTCATGTTATTTTCCTACTTCAGACCTGATATGTCATAAATATTTTTACAGAAATATTTTGAAGAAAACTTCACCGTGAGTGAAAACGGCAGTGGAAAATATTGGGAAAGTAATTACCCATAAGTGAACGCTATCATGTATTGCTATTAGCATTTTGCTCTTATTAGTAAATAGGACAAACCCTTAAGTTAATCTTTATTTAATATCCAAAATAAATTCAGTGCTACCACTGCAATAAAATTTCTTTTTTTGAATTATGGCTCAGGTGGTAATTAGATCAAATTCTTAAGATTGATGTTTTGCTGGTAGTTTCAAGAGACTCAGGAGTCCAATTAAATTCATCAAAAGGTTCAGGGAAAATCTGTACTCCACTCAACTCAATCATGCAAACAAGTTACTTAATCTTCACTGTAAAGAAAAACCCTGGTTAGAAAAATGTAGATTAGATATAAATGAGTTTAAAATATTTGCATCAGAATTAATTATGATAATAATTAGCTTCAAACATTTATTGAGTAATTAATATGTGCCACTGAGTAATTAATAAATAATGGCAATGTGTCATTGCTCTTACATGCATTCTCTCATGCAATCCTTACACTAAGCAAAAGAAATACGTAAAATTTTTCCATTTACAAACGAGAAACCAAGGTTTAAGTTAAGTAACTTGTCAAAGGACACAGCTAGTAACAAGCAGATCAGAGATTTAAATCAGGAAGTTTAAAAACTTAAAAGACAATCTGGGAGAACAGAGTGATGGTATGAAACATTATTACTGTAGGAAAAAAACCCTGAAGACTAAAAATGTGGGGAAGGTTTATGGACACAGGATAAATTTACAGTAGACTTTTATCCTCTTCAGCATATAGACTGACAAAACAAATAGCAGTATGAAGTACTGAGAAAATATGAATGGTATAAATGTTTAAGGTTTTGTGAGGTTTAAGAGAAAATAAAAATGAAGTAAAAAGATCACTCTATATAGAAGAAACTAAAGATTGTAGATTTAACAGAATCCAAAATTGTGAGGAAAGTGAAAAATTAGTTTACAAATAATGGCGGTCGTGGTTCTGTGAATCGGGTATTTCTTGGCACAGGAAATGCCAGGGCTTGGAGAAGCGGCTGCAGTGGCAGGATCTGCCTCCACTTCCCCAGCTTCTCTGCGAGGCTCTGATTCTGTTTCTCGGCAGCTCCTCGTTAGGGTTTTCATCTGAATCAGGTCCAACTGCATATCCACAGCCACTCCTGGGCATGACTTCCATCTCCGACTTCTCACAGGAGATGTCATTTCCATTTCCAGCCCCAGGAGGCCCGCTAAGGGCAGGCCTGTCCCTTGCTTAACCTGGTGGGGCCTTGACAAGGCAGTGGGACTGGTCACATAGTCAGGAGGCTCAATGCCACACTCATGTAGACATCACATTAGCAAGCACGGGCTGCGGGTCAGAAATGCTCACTCTGTGTACCTAGGGGGAGGCCTGGAATATGTATTTGAAAACTTCCTGAGGATTTATATGTCCTCTCCTGGTGAAGATCTAGAGGACTGGAGAGAATTCTGTTAAATGACACCTACTCCGCGGGAAAAAGTACCGACTTGAAAAAAATTCTTCACCGCCTAACAAAATCAGTGCCGTCAAATGTAATACTATGCAATGAAACTAGTAAAAACTTAATTTTCTCTATTTTCCCTACACATTACTCCGCTACGTCAGAGAACAGTGTAGATGGGGCATAAGTGGGTACCTGTACACAAGGAAAGCTAGAATTTGCTCCTCACCTTCCCCATTTCCTGACTGTCAACTAAATAGGGTTTAAAGACTCTCCTAACACCACTTCTTTCTGTCTTTTACCTTTAATAAAAAGAGACGCCTTTTCTTTGGCATATTTTAAGTGCTGCAGATTGAAATGAGTTAATTTTTTTCAGTGTTTTTGGCATCTTAGATAAAAAAAACACTTAAGAGGAATACAAATACTCATTTACAAACTAAGACTCAAATCATACAGAACCATGATTCTCAATCCTAGGGTAGGGGAAAGAGAAAAATGTAGCTTTCTCTTTCTTGGACATACTTAACTTTAGATTTGATTAGCCTGATCACTTCACATTTTCAAAACCAAAATTGGCTGGTTAAATAATGTTAAGAACAAAATGAAGAAACTGGAGACTTTACTTGCCCTTTTTATTACTCTAGTTGCCCTGGGAGCTAATGTGTCTGATAACTCATTCACACTGCAGTCAGGATTTAAGGCAGATGATCCCACAGCTCAGACATGTTACATTTCTCCACTCCTTGAGTACATTTATCTTTACTGTGTGGGAAGAAGAGAACTGAATCGAGCCTCTGCCAGGTGGGGTTGAAGAGGCTTACTCCTCCACTAAAGCACCACAGGCAGATCTCCCTGTTACGGGGTTAGTTTTGTCCCCCAGATAAAGCCGTGTACTGTTGCCATCATCCGCATAAACCATCTTAAGATAACTGCACAGTTCACTGTGGAAAAGATGTAAGGTCTGACGGGATTTTACTTTCTATCAATGTATCACTAGTTGCACTAACTCAGCAGTTTTAACTGCAAAAGGAAATATAGGCCCTTTACTCCATTATTAAGAGAAGGATGGATTAAGCTATTAGAAGGACTCTGTAGAGAAAGTAAAACATTTATTCTCTAAGAGAAGCTGAAGAAGGAATATGCTCAAGAAGTAAATTTGTGCCTAGTTCATGAAATGACCAAGTATAATCTTGCTCACCAATTGTATTAGGTTCTAGTAAAAGTCTAAAGTTTGGTTATAATGAGGTGATATGAGAATTAATTTTCAACAACTTCCTACCTCCAATCATGACAATATGTTGGTGGAAATTGTATGAGATATTCATTATGACAATTCTAGTCACCGGAGATTATTTTATCATTTAATTTTCCTTTCAAGTTGGCTTTTCTTATTTGAAAAAGCTAAAACTTTGCAGAATTCAAAAGATGATGCAAAGTTTAGTAAAAACTTAACAGTAGATTATATGAGAAAAAAACTGAAAATGCAGTCAAAGCCATGGTAGATAGATAATCTAAAAGAAAAAGAAATTTTGATGAATTCAACAAAGGTTAAAACCCATTTTGTTATATGGATATGCACGTGTGTGTGTGTGTGTGTGTATAGTAATTACTATATATATATAGTAATTACTAAATGAATCACTGCAGCCCATCCCAGATAACATACTTATAAGAAGCAAATGCTATGACCTGCAGGGATCAGGCCCCAGCTTGCAGCCCCGGCTTGTGCCCCCAGCCCCATAGCCCCACCTGGCACTCCGCCTTGGCCTGGCGCCTCCCCTCACCTGCTCCACCATCCGCCTGTGGGATCATTGATCGGGGCCAGCCACCCCCCCCACCACCATAGCCCCACCTGGCACTCCGCCTTGGCCTGGCGCCACCCCTCACCTGCTCCACCATCCGCCTGTGGGACCATTGATCAGGGCCAGGCCCCCCCCACCACTGCTGGTTGCCGTCTGCAGGGTGATCAGTGGGGCGATCAGGCCCCGCTCACACCCAGCATGGCCTGGTGCTGCCTGCTCACCTGCTCCACTATCCTGCCGTGGTCCTGCTCTCATCGGGGCCCATCAGGGCCAGCAGCGCCTTCACTGCTGCCCACTGCCAGTGCCACATTGCCGACACTCACCATGTTCTGTGCCACCCTCTGGTGGTCAGAGCATGTCATAGTGAGCGGTCGAACTCTCGGTTGAATGACCGCCCAAGGGGACAATCTGCATATTAGGCTTTTATTATATAGGAGATATATATATAATAAATTATACTCTGCTTGGGAGCAGGGACCATGTCTTCTATCTCCTTTGTATAATCTATGCTGAACACATACATAGCAGGTGCTCACACTTGCTTAACTGAGTTTAAAATCTCTGGGAAAATGAGCTAGTTATTTACATCAACCCTTGAATATAAATTAACCATTGAAATTCTGTTTATTCCATTAGTTAAGAATGAAAACAGTCACGTTAGTATAATGATATTACCTGTAAGGATAGCCGTGGTACTTGGAACGAAATATCGAAAGAAGGAAGCTGAAGAAGAAGACCACCAGGCCCAATCCCACCAGGCAAATGACTAGAGAGACAGAAAATACCATTAATGTCTAGACACATGCAACCCAAGTGTCTACATTTAAAAATGCATTCAATAATTACAGTGTACTTATATCAATAGTTCATGGCACATACAGATACAACAATCAGATAATCCAAAATACAATGGATTCACTATTTTACACGTTCTTCCCAATGAGTGGGTATGTTTTGGGTATGAAAATAACCAAAGTGACTGATTTAAGTCTTTTGATAATTTTCCTCTCTTACAGAGTTCCTAAAAGTACTAAAATGCCCCAGGGGATAAAAACAAACAAAATATGTGATAAACCACAGATGAAACTATCCCTGTATTATGAAGCATTAGCTCTATTAGCAGAGACATCTGCATTATTGGAATGCTAAATATAATTTTATTCTCAGGGCCATGCAGTATTTATGAAAATAATTTTAGATTATTGCATCAGTAAAAGCCTGTTACTTACAAATAATTCATTATGATGTATAGAAAGCTAAGAATAAAAGCTTGGAGAGTAAAAGGGAGTATATATGGTATGGTATTCTCAAAATAATGGCCTAGAAATCTGTTAGTCAGTTCTCATTCAACTTTGTAGGAATATCATTCTCTCTGATTTGAGTACAAATTAAGTCATAAGCGCTTAATAGCATTCAATTGTAGTCTCTGTGACATTTCATTTCAGACAAGGCCATATAGGTGAACTTCAAAGGAAGAAAAAAAAGGTACTCAATATCACAAAATGAAAAACACTTTTAAAAATACTGTAGAATATCCAAGTATGCTGGACACCAGGCACTAGATAGAGCATGTAACAACATAGCTTACAACAGCCTTACTAAACCCAGACTTAACTGCATGATGCTTTACTTTATATCTTCCTACATTTAGTACTTTTATCAAACACTTCTTTTCCTTTTTTATTTTTTATTTTAAAAAGCTTTTCAGACGCTGAATAAAACTTTCCACTCCCTTTGTCACTCTTAGTAGCCTCGTTTGGTTATTATGCTCAGTGGGAAATGAGGCTCAAAATATGTGAACACATATTTACTTGATTTCCTGCAGTGGAATAAAATAATGCAACCAAATATTTGTATATGGATAAGGGAAAGGAATTAAATGGTTGGTGAGGAGTTAGTAGTTACTAAATGAATCACTGTAGCCCATCCCAGATAACATACTTGTAAGAAGCAAATGCTATGACACAGAAACATTCTGACCTGGTCAATGACCTGATCAATGATAATCACAGTTGTATTATATCCATTCTACCAGAATAAGAAAATAATTTTAAAATATAATCTCTCTCTCTCTCTCTCTCTCTCACACACACACACACAAATAATTTGGCAGTGGGGGGTGGAGCAATAAATATATATATATAATCTCGACCAAGAGAAAAGTTGGAAGTAATGATTTCATAGACATTGTGATTAAAATATTAATACACACTTATTACTATTATTTAGCCTGATATGATAGGACATATGGTAATATATCATCACACAAGAATTTGCCTCATGTTATTTATCAATCCAAAGAGCATCACATTGTTTATTTAAAAGATATATCATGAAGTGATATATCTGAATAATGCTTAGCTAAACAAAGTAACATGTTTATTTCTTCTATATTTCCTCAAACGTGTGTAGAGAACATCATGGGAAAAGGTAAACTAAACTGTATATTTCACCCAATACATTTCAACACTTATGATACCTAAGTGTTCAGAAATCACTATGATGTACTAACAATCATATTACCTAGCTATTATCCCATAAAGGAAATAAGTCTTTTATTTTAAATAAATTATTCATCTTTAAACTTCTTAATAAAATGTTAGCCTTTTTCAGGCACCTGTGCTCCTCATACATAAATTCTGGGTTTTAAAAAGGGCTCAGAAATGCACACCTGATTCTCATGGCATTGAGGACCTACCATTTGACAATACACCTCTCAGGCTCCCCCCAGCATCCCCACCTCTCCCTGCAGGATGCATGGTACTCCAGGACTAGATGCTCCATGGAGCTGGGCAGAGCACCCCTGACGAGGGTGGAGGGAATTTCTCCTTTCTCTGCAGTTCCACAGAAAGTCACCCAAACCCATTCGGAAGGGGTATATTTTTAATTATTTGAGTACATCTAAGAATAGAAGAGTAAAAAACATTGCAATGTTCCTCAACCAGAACATTTCTTTAGTTTATGTTTTCAAAGAACTTTTATATTCCTCATTTGATTTAAATGAATCTTAAGTCTAAAACAAAATTACAAAAAAAACAACAGAGAATTACTTCGTCTTTTTCCAACATCTCCTTTGGATGTTGCTGCTTCATTTAGAAGAACCATCCCCATGGTGATAGCAGCATCTATAGTAATTGTCAAGGAAACAGTAGCAATGCATTCAAATAAAACATATTATTTTTTTGGATCTGAACACAATGTTTTCGGTAGTGGAATACTTAAATTACAAATGCACACAGAGCTAAATACAATTTATTCTATGCAGAAAAAATAAAATTATCATTCTTTGTGTATTTAAATCTACCTTGATTTTTTAAAAAATATTAATTTCAGAGAAGAAGGGAGAGGGAGAGATAGAAACATCAATGGGAGAGAATCATTGATTGGCTGCCCCTGCATGCCCCCTATTGGGGATCGAGCCTGCATTTACCCTTGACTGGAATCGAGCCCGCATTTACCCTTGACTGGAATCGAACCCGGGACCCTTCAGTCTGCAGGCTGACACTCTACCCACTGAGCCAAACCAGCTAGAACTAACTTGATTTTTAAAATATGCAGGCTGACACTCTACCCACTGAGCGAAACCAGCTAGGACTAACTTGATTTTTAAAATATATAACCTAAAACCTTGTGAGATTTTGCAAGTAATTGAAATGCTCTTAAATTCCAGGACCTTCACAGCACGTATGCTTTATGTGGACTCTCAAAACCAATAATGACATTTCACATTATACATAGATAATATAGAATCACAATGATACATTACATTGGCAGTCATAGAAGATTAAAATATATTCAGCATAAAACCAACCAAGTTTGGTCAGAAGTCTAAAGTAACAAGAGAAAAAGCTGCTATCAGCCCTGTGCAATAGCATCACCCTCTCACCCTCTCACCCTCACCCCGGCCTCCCCACCCAATACATGTATACACATCACACACTACCATTAAACTTTTAGGGGTCCATTATACACAGTTTGAAAACCAATGAAATTTAGATAATTACTAAATTCCTTGGGTTTCAATCATGTAGTGATGGCCTGAAAGAATCGTGTAAGAGAATGACTGTTTCATGCTACCAGTATGATAAATCTGTGGATTTAAGGGTTCATTATTCTTAAGGTGTTTTGGACAGTCTACTGATGTAAATTCCCTTGAGTCCATAGTCATAGGGCATTTCTAGTAATGAGAGAAAAAATTAAAAGCTTGTATCATTCATCTTGTTCCCATGTGGGTAATTTCTGCTGCTTAGTGCTTTGGAGCAGACGGATATGACTATGTAGGTCCTTATTAAGGAGTCAAGTTAGGATTCTCCTTTCATCTTTCTCTGGAAACACCCTTTTTATTCATGTATACATTTTAATCTACACATATGATTATACATAGTTACTATCACACATATTTGCAAATATATGAAATGTTTTAAAATGACCTTATGTAGGTATTATAAATAAAATACTCATTTTATGATTTCATCTGCTAAGTAGTTGCTGAAATTTCATTAATAAAATCATGGGGGAAGTGGCATGATTTCTATTCCTGGGGAAAATATGATTTAAAAAATTAAATGGATCGAAGACTTAACCATAGATCTGATACTATAAAACTGCTAGAAGGAAACACAGGGAAGAAGCAACTGTATGCAGGCAACTGGGCTGAACACCATACAGGGATTCCTCTCATTAAGCCCCTTAACAATGCTGTGAGGTGGGTACTGTTTTAATTCTTGTTTGTACATTGTGATAACGCAACTTACAGAGAGGTCTAATAACTAGAACAAGGTGTTAATAGTGCTGGAGCCAGAATTCAAGGCAGCTATCTGAGCACAAAGCCCATTTGCTCTTTTCTTCTTCTTCTTTTTTTTTTTTTTTACAGGTTTGAATGTTTTTATGTTAGCACAAATTTAGTTTAAAACACACACACACACACACACACACACACACACACACACAAATACACAAATATATTACTCACAGATTCAGGAAGCTTAGCAAGCCCAAAGTAAGATAAATTCAAAGAAGCCCCATCTAGGCACACCACAGCCAAAGATAAAGATTTAATATTGATAATATTGAAAGCAGCAGAAAAATAAAAAGTATTACATATAGAGAAAGTGTTATGTTTTGGCCAACTTCTCATCCAAATCAACGGAAACAACAACACAAAAGAAATTATATATTTAAAGTGCTAAAAAAATTGTGAACCCAGAATTCAACATCTAATATATTCTTCCAAATGAGGGTGAAATAAAGCCATTTTGATATAAACAAAAGCTGAGAGAATATCTCAGCTACAACAATGCTTAAGAAGATATTTATGTCTGAGGAAATTATACCAGATAGGAACACAGATCTATAGAAAAAAATGAAAAGCATCAGAGTAAATTTAAAATATATAATTTTTCTCTCGCCTCTTAATATTTTTAAAAGGTAGCTATTTAAAGCGAAAACAACATTGTATTGTTGAATTTATAACTTATCTATATACTAGAGGCCCAGTGCACGATTTCGTGCTCAGGTGGGGTCCCTCGGCCTAGCCAGCCAGGAGGGGTGTGAGGGGGGATGGGGGACCGTGGGAGGTTGGCTGTGGGACTGCACTGACCATCGGGAGGCAGCTCCTGCATTTAGCGTCTGCGCCCTGGTGGTCAGTGCACGTCATAGTGGCTGGTTGTTCGGTCGACTGGTTGAAGGTTTGCTTAGGGTTTTATGACCTGATGACCAGCCAGTAGCTATGACGTGCACGGACCACCAGGGGGGCAGACGCTCGATGCAGGAGCTGCCCTCTGGTGGTCAGTGTGCTCCCACAGCCAAACCCCATGGCCAGCCAACCTCCCACGGTCCCTCCCCCTGGCCAGCCCCAATTGCTGGGGAGGCCGAGGGACCCCACCCATGCATGAATCCATGCACCGGGCCTCTAATATTATATATTACATTTATTGATTTTCATATATTGAGCCATGCTTGCATCCCAGGGACAAATCTTACTTGGTGGATGGTGTACAATCCTATGTATGTGTTCTTGAATTTGGTTTGCTAATATTTTGTTGAGAACTTTTGCATCTATATAAATCAGGGATACTGGTCTACTAGTATAATTTTCTTGTGGTACCCTATATGGCTTTGGTAGCAGGGTAATGCTGGCCTCCTAGAATGAGTTTGGAAGTGTTCCTTACTCCTCAGTTTTAGAAGAATTTAAGAAAGATTGGTGTTAATTCTTCTTTAAAAGTTTGGTAGAATTCTCCAGTGAAGCTATCTGGTCCTGGAAATCTGTGTTGGGAGATTTTTTATTACAAATTCAGTATCTTTACTCATTATTGGTCTGTTCAGATTTTTCTATTTCTTCCTGATTTGGTCTTGGTAGAGTGTGTGTTTCTAGCAATGTATCCACTTCTAGGTTATGTGGCATATAATTGTTCCTAGAATGTCTTATAATCCTCTTTATATCTGCAGTATCAGTTGATCTTCTAGGGTTTTTTTTTTGTTAGTCTAGCTAAAGGTTTGGCAATTTTATCTTCTCAAAGAACTTGTTCTTAGTTTCCTTGATCTTTTTTTTTTATTGTTTTTCTGGTTTATATTTCATTTATTCCTGCTCTGATCTCTATGAATCCCTTCTGAAAGGAAAGTTCATATTCATAAATGCGTATATAAAGAAATGCAAAACTTCGTAAACCTTTGTACATATAACCCTAAAATAGGAATTTTAAAGCAAAGAGGTGCCTAGATACAGGCTGTGTATAACCCCCGAGTAAAATATCTTATTAGAAAGCAGTAGGGTCAGGAAATAAGTATGATCTCATTCTCAGAATGTTTCCTGCAAAAGTATTGAGAAATGAGCTGTGAACCTACTTTAAACTTGATGGTTAAAATTAAGATATAAGAATTAATCTAAAATGGCTTTAAACTCACCAACCCTCCCTCTTTTATTTAAAAATATTTTTTAAGTGTAAGATCTTTGATTATTGAGAATTAATTGGGCTTAAGTTCCATAATATCCAAGGAAACAAAAGTTTTGGATTAAGAAAAAAGAGTCTACATAATACTTTTCATTTGAGAAAAATAATTCACATTTGTAACGAACATTTGTACACGAAGGATTAATTTTTAAACAGAGGAAGAAGCTAGATGTTCATCTGTCAGAATTGATATGTAGAGCTTCCTTCATTGGGTGGGAGGTTGAATAATTAAGGAAAGCCCCTAGATATTGGGGAGATTCTATGTCTAACTCTGGGATAACAGATGCTTTTCTGCCTTTAAAATTATGGCTGGAGCCATTTTGGCACAACATTAAAAGAGTATATGAGATGTAAGTATATAGTGGATAAACTATAATTTTTCTGAGACTTGTTCTATTGTTCTGAGATAGTTAATGCCTACACATACACACACACACACACACACACACACACACACACACACACACACGGTCTAGTTCATGTATTATTTTGCACATTTGTATTAACATTGTAGCAATATATACTAGTACTTCAACTACTTGCAGACTCCACAGTTTCTTTGCTGAGCCTGCCAATCATCATCTTATTGCTTAAAAAGTCAAAACACTGACATCCCACATACACTAGAAGCTGCTATTTGTGTAAATTATATGTAATAACCAAAGGCACTGGGCATCCTACTGAACTAATAACAAATGCGTTTGTATTGCATTATAATTCATTCTCAATTGCACATGATGTTAGGTTCACTGTTGCTCCAGGAAGAGAGTCACGATTGCCAATTAAAGATGAATGAGAACAGAAGTTGAAAAATATATGAGCACATTACAGAGGACTTACAGGAATCTAAATCTAAAATTATCTTCAACTTGCATCCATCATTAATTTTCTCCTATAATGTTTTTTTCTTCGATATAACACATTAAAATAAACATTTTTCTCTATCACAGATTGAAAATAAATGCAGAATCAAACTTTCATGATAAATGGAAAACAAATGTTTTCTCAAATGAAAAGCAAATGTGATATTTATAAGAATATATATATCGCTAGTATAGCCTTTGCCTTTTATATTAGCACTTTTACTTCCAACTGATACTTATCTATGCCATCTTCTTTAGATCTCAGAACTTAAAGGACATGGGGAATCATGGGACAGGTCAGAGTTTGTATAGTTGGCAGTAAAGCCAATACAATACCTCGTGTGTCCTGTACCCACTGGCACACATAGACTGTAGCTTGGTGAATTCAGATAAGGTTCAAGTTTCTTAGCAAGGCATGTGTACATTTTCATTACCCAGCCAAATCTCCTCTTCACTATTTGTGAATATTCTCATGTTATATTTTTGTACCTGTTGTGCCTCCTACTGGAATATTCTCCCTCACTTACTCTCCGACAGGGAAACTTGTTTGGCTACTGTAGCAAAATGAACCCAACAGTCAGTTGAACTACCTGGGCATCCAGGTGCTCTCTGCTTTCTTGCTGCGTCCGAGCACTGATTTTAGCACGGGCCACACAGCAGGATAATTCTTTTTCTATCTGTCTACTTTCTTGTAAATAGCATATATCTTATTTGCATCAGGTACTGAAACATAACTGAATGAAAAATGAAAGAAAAATAAATTTTAATGGGAAAACATAAAGGATTATATAAATTCTTCTTAGTTCACATATCTGTATTAAAATGCCATAATATTTCTTAAACTTTTTAGATAGTTTTCTCTCATAGGCTACTTAGGATTGTTCCTTTTTCTTCCCTAAATAAGAAACAGAGAAAATAAAACACTACTAATAGGGAGAAAAACATTTGTAGTAAATATAAGTATATAACCTATGACAACAAACAACTCCATCTGTTCTTCCTTAGGTTTTTTCCAACAAACTTTTGTACATAGCCATTGCATCTAATCACCTGGCTTACTAAATTAAGAAGGGAAAAACAAAAGGCAGAAATGGTCTCTACAGATAAACAAAAAGTAACCATCTGGAATTTACTTTTTTTTCCCATAAGGGAAAAAATACACACATAAATTGCAAGAGAAAAATATATAGTTTTAAAAAATTAGACTGCCAAATAAAAGTAAAATCACAAATTATTACATAATGGCTTCTTAACTTTTACTGATAATTTTATTGAGTCTACCATTTTAAAAGAAATTTTCTTTTTCATATATATCTATGAAATAAAACAAGAAATAAAGCAATAAATAATTACTGGTAACAGAAAGAGAACAGGGACTTCTAGTTCTTTTAGGTATTCATGTTAGAACTCTATATGGAAGACTTCACACTGCTTATGGAATTTCTTTGCATCCTAAATCTCAGCTTCATGTCAATGAGCCATGAAATGGAACCTTGGAGAATTCCTGCCATATAATGGAACTTTCATTTCTTTTGTGAGGTACTCCTGATGTGTTTAATAGACTAGCTGCTTTGAATAAAGTATGCTGCTAAAATGCTACATCAAGGATTGAAATAGGGTAGAAAAAATGTGTATATATAAATAAGAGCTAAAAAGTGACCTGCAACAAGTATTTTTTCTTACTATTATACTTGAACACAAATGTATTTTCCTTCATAAACATGCAATTAAGAGATGAAATAAGAGTAAATATGGCCTTACCCACATTTTTAGATATGGAGATGTTCCTATAAACATGTTTGCAAATATTTCCTTTTCTCACTAAAAACCCTTCCGATATGCAGAAAGGATTAATATCTTACCATATTAAAGTCGAAACACAGAAACCTGTAGTTACTGATGAAAATCACAAAATTTGAGAACGTTTACTAAAATGTAGGTTATTTCCAAGTCCAATCTAAGAGGCAAAGTACAACACACACAAAAATACTCATCTTAGTCATTTCTTAAATTTGAAGCCATAAAAGATAGAGGTAATTAAATAAATGCAAGCAAGAAATGGACTACAGATATGCACAATTCCATGTATGCGCCAAGTATGTGTGGTCACGTATGGGAGGAATGAAAAGGTTGAGAACTGGTACGAGGAAGAAGAGGGTCAGTGCTGCCCAGTGAGCTTTAGGAAGACACTGGAATATAAAATGGAGTCATAATCTCTCCTCCAGCTTCATTTTCAAAGTCAAAATGTCACACGACTCACACAAACCTCAGTGTTCCCCCCAAATACAGTTGTTTGCCTAAAAAGTAATTCCCCCACTCAGAGAATATCACGTTTGTCTTAAATACTTGAACTTCCTTCCTTCCTATCCTGCTATCTTCTTGTTGACCCCAAACTGGGCAGAATTACCTGATTTAAAACAATGGGTCTGGTATGTTCCAAAAAGAGGTTTCTAACTGTCCTACGTCTCCCTCTTCTGACTGATCATAATATTTAAGGGGACCAGTAATAAAATAATGTTTTTCACCTTGCTTTTTACATTATAGGATGCTTTCCCCCTGCCCCCACCATTAAAATCCTATGGGAAAAACCATACAAGTTTCACAAATAACCTTTAGCCAGAGATAACCGAGGCAGAGCAAAAGCTCTACTTTAACTTCATTACTCAGTAAAAAAGAGAAAATTAAGAGTCTGTTAATGATTCAGAATAAAAGCCAAAAGTATAATAGGAAATAATTAGCATAGAAATCAGAAAATTAGACATAGCCAATTTAAAATATAATGTCTTTTACAAGTCTTGGTATTTATTATCAGGAGAGAATTAATTTGACAGCACATGGTTTTTCTTTCTCAATCATCAGTCCTTTAAAGGATACTCAGCACCAGAATGATGTGGGACTCAGCCACGAACTGGGCCTGGCTGCTTCCATGAATGTAGCTCTAGAAAAACAAGACAAAGAAGCAAATATTACAATCTGAGGAATTAGGGATTTTTTTGTACATTGTAGTTTTATACCATGAAGATAATAGAAAAATCTATTAAATAAGCTCCATTTGGAGTTTTTTAAATGAAATAATTGCTTGTTAACTAGAAATAATAGATGTAAATGTTGGTGGCTGATATTACTGTAAACTGTAGGCAGCAACTTAATATCAATGTGAACTTATATCTTGTTCAAAGGTTTATCACAAACATACACACAATGTAATAGCAAAAGTTATAAATTAGAGCAAGTAAGTTTACTAAGTCCATTAAAATAAGTCAACAATAATCTATCAAATCACTCTTTTCCACATTATTAATAGCAAAAGTTATAAATTAGAGCAAGTAAGTTTACCAAGTTTACTGAGTCCATTAAAATAAGTCAACAATAATCTATCAAATATTAATTCATTCTTTTCCACATTACCAAAATAAGGTAGCTTTATAAGTGCACTCATTTCATTAGAACATTTTAATTGATTTTTAAAATATAAATATTAAAACTGTTTTAGCTCACTGAGAAATGTACAGTTTTTCATACGTAGTAAGAACTGTATTAGTTGATATCCAGTAGATTACAGAAAATCTGACAAAAATCATCTAAGATATTTTGCTTCTAAAAAATCTGACGTCTCCATTATTTCAGCTGTTAATCTCTCATGAAAATCAGTTGCTTGGCAGTTGTTTTAAATAAAAATACTTGTCTAGGTGTTCTGTTCATAAAAAATATTCGAGAAAAAAAACCTCTTACGGCATAAAATTAATAGCCTCAATTTTATATCACATTTGAAGAGTAATTGTATCATTCGAGAAGAACCACTTTAGTCCTCTCAAAAATTTCCTTTGTTTTTATTTTGACAACACATATAGGTGAAAGCATTATGCTTTACTGGAGACAGTATTTCTGGAAGCATGGAACAGAGTGTGGAATCTCAGAGGGAGGGCGGGGAAAAGTGGGTGGATGGGCAGTAATCAACCAATGACCATGTATGCATATATGCATAACCCATGGACACAGACAATAGGGTGCTGAAGGCCTGGGGCGAGGGAGGGCAGGGGCGGCTGGAGAGGATCAATGGGGGACATATGTAATACTTTCAACAATAAAGAATTATTTTTAAAAAGAGAGAAAAAGAAAAAAGTGAATAAAGCAGGCTATTTTAGGCTAAAAACAAAAGAGAGTTAGAAATTATTCCTTTTTGGCCTTAACCCTAAACACATCACCAAATGTGTCAGATATTCAATAGCCCGTCATTTATAAAATTAGGAACAAAATCAGATGATTCCTACTATCTCTTTGAAGTATATAAAGTCTTTTTTTTTTAATTCTGTCTTGGTATTTTCATGTAAAGGCTGTTCTTTATACTTTATACTCTGATCTAAACTGTCTTTGCTTCCATCTAAAAATTCTCAATATTTCATAGTGCAACTGCCTCATCCAAAGGGATATTTAGATGTATAAGCACAGCTTCAAGCAAACTGGCTAAAAGATAGCCGTTCCTGGGCATTCACATTATAACTTCTGAGTAATCCTATCATATGTGTTTTCTTCTGACTCTATCCATTTAAATGTCCCTACATGGAGATAAGCATAGTTTTGAAAGTCAAACTAGCTAGTTAATCATTTAAGACTTCTAACATTAGTAATGAATGACAAAAATGAACCAAAACAAATACTAGCTATGTTTGACAGCAATTTATGTCTGGTTGGAAAATAAGACCCTCAATACAAAGGAACAAAGGTTTTATTCTAGTAATTGTAACAGCAAGAATAATAGTAAGTAGAATTGTACCAAGTACTACTAATAGTAATATCTACCAGTTATCTAGCACTCATTTTATGTAAGATGCTTAAAAGTTTTTCATGCACTATCTCATTTAATTCTACTAATCCTACAGGGTAGGCATTTTTATTATAGTCATGATATAGATAAGGTAACTGAGGTTTAAGAGAAACTTGCCCAGATTTAAATATCTAGTGTGTGTAAATGCTGGGATTTGAATGTAGGTCTCTGATTTCAGATTCTGAGCTCTATTCATTATGCTACCTTGTTATTTACTGGATGCTTCATATATGTTATCCCATTTTATCTTCATAACTAGAGGCCCAGTGCATGAATTCATGCACCAGTGGGGTCCCTCGGCCTGGCCTGTGGGATCGGGCTGAAACCGGCTCTCCGACATCCCCTGAAAGGTCCCAGATTGCAAGAGGGCGCAGGCCAGGCTGAGGGACCCCACTGGTGCATGATTGGGGCCAGGGAGGGACATGGAGTTTGGCCAGCTGGGGAAGGACCGTGGGAGGGCTCCAGGGCATGTCCGGCCCATCTCACTCAGTCCTGATCAGCCAGACTCTGGCAGCAAGCTAACCTACCAGTTGGAGCGCCTGCCCCCTGGTTGTCATGTCATGGCGACTGGTCGACCAGTTGACTGTCTGCCCCTGGGTGGTCAGTGCACTTCACAGAAAGCAGTTGAGCAGCCTTAGCATATCATTAGCATATTACGCTTTGATTGGTTGAATAGTCGACGGGACACTTAGCATATTAGGCTTTTAATATAGGATAACCATATAAAATAAGTATCATCATGTCATCTTCCAAATAAAGAAACTGGGATTTAGAAAAATTAACTTGCTTAAGATTGCATGACTAGTAATTGGTGGAATTTGGACTAAAACATATGTCTACTTCCAAAGTTCATACCTTTTTCACCATAAATTAATGACATCAAAAGACAAGAAGGCAATCAAGTGAAACATTTTATAAAAGCTTTATCTGGCAATCACATAATTAAACAATGATCATTAAAGTCAACATTTGTATGACTTAAATATTTAAACATAACAACACTGGATATTATACCTAGATTTATATAATGACTAGAAGGTAGTTTGCCTATATTAGAATCACAAATTTAGAGAAGCAAGAACTTGAGATATTTTCTAGGTGAGTGATTTTAAAACTTTTTTTAGTAATAGAATCTTCTCTGGTCAAAGTCATCAACAGACTTCCACTTCCAATTCTATGGTCATATCTCATTCTGACTGGACTTGATCTGTTAAGTTCGCTGCATGAGGTCCTTCTCCTTTTTTGTACTACTTCCTCCCCTTGACTTCTACGATGCCACTCTAGATTCTCCTGCTTTCCTGGCTCCTCTCCCCCAGGCACTTTGGCTGTTCCCTTTCATCATCCTCACAATAAATTCTGGAGTAACTCAGAGATGCAGAGACTTAAGCCCTTTCTCTATATTCAGCATTCCCAGGTGTTCTCCTCCAGCCTCATGACTTTACTGATCGTTTCTACAGCGATGATTCCTCCATTTCTACCCCCAGATCAGTCCTTCAGACTTGCATATGGCCTGATATATATTCAGCTCTGCTTGGTAATCTAATAGTCTTCATTAATAGACTCTACTTCGAAAGCTAAAATGGTCAAAACAAACTTTTGATATGTCCATCCCCCTTTCAATCCCAGAAATATCAACTTGCTTTTTCCAGTTATTTAGGACCAAACTTTGAAATTGTTCTTGTCTGTTCTCTCCTCTCTCCCTTTACATATTTCCAATCGTTGAGAAAAAAATGTTAATTCTATGTTCAAAATCCATTCCAAATTCAGCCACCTGTTACACTTCCAGGGAGCACTGGCAGAGGAGCCCGCGGGTTAGACCAGCCTCACCATCTGGCCCGAGCAGTCATCTCTTCCCTACATCATTGCAATAGCCCCCTTTGTTCTTCCTGCCTCTACCCTATAGTCTAATTGTTAGATTAATCCTGATAGAACTAATCAGATTCTACTATTACTATCATTACCCTACTAGAACCCTTCAATTCTTTCTCAAATGTGTGCGAAAAATATATCATTAAATATATATATATATATATACATATATATATATTTGCTTCAAGACACAATACTAGAGAACTTACATATTTCTAACTAATTTAAAAATACAGCTAGGTTAAAAAAAATTCACGTTTTGTCCTTAAAGGCCTACTTCACTCTAACAAATCTACAATTGTGGCTTATTTCTTGTATACATGCGGCAGTACAGAGTAAAGGCTTGCACAGACTCCTGAGTTCACTACCTGCTAGCTGTGTAATCATGAAAAAGTTCCTTAGCATCAATGATCTCATCCTTAATAGGAATAGGAAGATGTTCCTCAAAATATTATCCTAAAAATCCAGTAAGACGAAGTCATGTTAAGTAATCAGCACAGTACCTGGTTTTTTTTTCTATAGTGAATAATGAAAAATAACCAAGGATAAGTCATTTTAAAGTCTATTCCAAACAAGCTATTTCTATTTTCTAAACATTAGACAAGGATGCTTAAATGTCATTCAGAAATTCATTTTATTTTAACTGGTGAATATAGTGTGTTAAACTGGTATTTTTTAAAGATGATACTCAGGAACCTGTACTAACATTTGGCTGTTGTCCATCTTCTTCAGTTATCAAAATCACATTAAGACCAGATACTCAAAAGACTTCAGGATTTAATAAAGTAGAATTCATTTAATACATTTCTATCAGGCAATTATTATGTCTGATTTAGACAATGGAGGTGCAGCATAACAAAAAACAGAAAACAAAAAACTCAAAAATACTATATTCTAACAAGTATATACATCCAAACTGTGAGAACACATTTTGTCTATCAAAGTGAAACAGATTATTGGCACATACTAAAAGCCACGGGCAAATACAAGAATAAAGGGGCAATAAACATTCCAGAGGCCTTAAGTATTGACCTTAGGGAGCTACCTTTCATTCAGGGGCCACCTACTGCAGTGGCTTAATCTAATTAAGATTTAACTGAGGTCTACAATTTTAAGCTGCTCTTAAAATTTTGTATTTAACTGATGCATGCAGTTTGAAGTAATATGTAAAGCAATGAAATCCCTTTACAGCTTGAGCATGATGTTTATTTATATTCTTTCTCCCTCTGATTTTTACTAATTCA